AATTAAATTGAAGACTACCTAATTGGGTTGAGAATTGATTCCTAATTCCTACCCCGATTCTCAATTAAATGAGGAGTTACCTAATTAAAATGGGATTTGATTTGATACCTACCACAATTAGGGATTTGATTTACCCTAATAAATCAAATCCCTAATTAATCAAATCAATTCCAAAAAGGGGAGGAATAATTCCCTTCCATCTACGGAATTATTCCTCTGAAACCCTAGCCTCCAAGACCATTATAAAAGTATAGTCACACACAAGGGTGGAGGTACGTCTAAATTCCTACTGAAACTCTGCAGAAATCATTTCTCACAAACCCTAGCCACCACTTTCTTTCTCTCCCTTACACAAGGCTCCGGCCACCACACACGGCTCCGGCCACCCGGTTTTCCTTGAAATACCTTACCTAACTTAGGCATCGGAGGGCCTTTGGCCAACACCCCCCGGGTGTGGTCCTTTTACTCCGATCTGTTTTGCAGGGAGAAATAGAAGCGGAGAAGACGAAGAAATCTTTGACGAATATTCTTGTGGGAAAAATCATTCCCTCCACCATTGACCCACTAATATACTTAAATTTGAGTTAAACCAGCTGTGTTGTAGACTTTGGACATTTGAGTCGAACCAGCTGTGTCGTAGACTTCGGCTCTAGAGTTAACAAGTTGAGCAATTGATTAATGCGTTCAATTTTTTATTTTTTATTTTTTAAAATGTATTATGTCAATTTGCACCTAACAGACATTTCATCGTCAAATTTAGTACCTAATAGGTACCAAAAGCATCTTCTTTATCACAAACACATTTCTTGGCTTCTTCCCTCGTGCTGCCATTCTTCTCCTCGCCTCTCTCACCAGCTTCTTCTCGTCTCATCCTTTTGCCACTTCGCCAATGAGTTTCCCCAAATGGTAGACCAATACAAAGATACATTATAGAAAAAGAAAAAACAAACCAAAAACAGTTGTAATATTCTTTAGAGATGGAAGAGTTCTATAATAATATTGGTATTTTCAAATAGTTAAATTCTTAAGTTCTTAGATTATTACAACCATTCATTGAATCCCGGAAACAGAAGTGAGACAAACAAAAATGTGATTGGCGCAGCCCCACCCTCCATGTTAACATAGTGATAATGGGGATGAGGTTGAAAGGTTCAAACACATAACATTTTGGTTGCATATTTAATGGCTTTTAATGTAATTAGTCAAAGACAAAATACAATATATAATGAGTGGTTCCACGACTAATAACACCGAGACATTTTGTGATAAAACCTCACACTTGTTATGCTATAACACGTGGTTAAGTTTGGAACAGTCTCAGTGTTAGACCAACTAGTAGTGGGCTGATTGTCCGCGCCTCTCTAAAATCTTATCCCTATTCTGGATCTAGAACTTCTGCTCATTTTAACCCTCATGCTTAGCTTGCAAAACTTGGTTGATCATTGTCTTTTATTTTGTTTTGTGCATGTTGCCATGATAGAAAAATTGGAAATATCATGCTTCATAGAACCTCTTGTAACACTTCAAACCAGATTTATAGGAATCTTCTGCCTCAATTCGGTTTGTAATGGACAAAGGCCCTGTTAGGAGGTAAAAATTGCTACTGAGACAGAAATGAGGAGAACAACAGGAGACAAGAATAAAAGCAGGTGACTAGTTGAAAAAAGCGTAGTAATCAAAGAGAGCTTAATTTAAAGATAATATAATACAAACCCAGTTGCCTGCCTCAACTGACATGATACCACAACTAATGTCTACTTGTTAGATTAATTATTATGGTCAGCTTCTTAACTGACATATAAGGCTCTTTTAATGTATTACTGGGTCAAGAATTCTGATCTGCATTATAGCATCCAACTTATATAAAATGATCAGAGTCTTCGAATTGAATACAAACTTGTTTCTGAAAGTTTAATGATGTCGCGAACATTCAAGTCACTCCTCTTTCCACTGCTTGGTGGTTTTGCTCTTATTCTCCTAGTTCATGCCCAGGATGAATCAGGTATGAATATTTCTGCAACTACAGTATAATTTGTTGAAAATTCTAAGGCCTCTCACTTATAGTATGTGTCTGTCTGTGATCTGTCTCAGGCTTCATTAGCATAGACTGCGGCCTTGCAGGAGATTCTAGCTATACTGAAAAGACAACAGGCATTAACTACACCTCAGACACAAACTTCATAGACACTGGTGAAGTTAAATTTGTATCACATGATTACAAGAACGAATATCAACAACAATATTGGTCTGTTAGGAGCTTCCCTGAAGGAATAAGAAACTGCTACAAAATAAATGTTACGAGTGGCAGCAAGTATTTGATCCGAGCAAGTTTCCTGTATGGAAACTATGATGGCCAAAATAAATTCGCAGAATTCGAACTACATCTTGGACCGAATTTGTGGGATTATGTGAAATTCGGGGAGTATGGCGTAGATTTTGAGCTCATACATATTCCCTTGCGAAATTACATGCATATATGTCTTGTAAACACAGGATCCGGGGTTCCATTTATATCAACAATAGAGATAAGGCCTTTACTTAATGAAACTTATCAGACACAAGTGGGGTCTTTGGCACTTGTCTCGCGGTATGACACTGGTGCTTTAGCAGCCACTTTTGAAGGATATAGGTGAGACATTAAGTAAGTTATGTACTCGGACATGATCAATACACATATGTCAATTAGTAGCTAAACACTGATTAAATCAATCTCTTTTGTTTAATTGTTTCTGTTTAGGTATCCAAAAGATATTCATGATCGCTTCTGGTATATCTATGCCCGCGATGATTGGACACAGATAAATACCTCACTCACGGTTAACCCTGGATTGTTTTACAAGCCACCATCTGATGTCATGTGTACTGCTGCCACGCCGAAAAGTGCAAGTGGCTCCTTGGATTTCTCCTGGAAGCCAGTGGATAAAAATTCAGAATATTATGTTTACATGCACTTCGCAGAAGTTGAAAAGCTCAAAACTAACCATTCTAGACAGCAATATGTGACTAAGAACGGAGTGCTCTTTCAAGAGCTTTTTTCTCCTGAATACTTGTACACAAGAACTCTTTTCACCCGTTTGGCTGTTGGTGGAGAAGTACAATATAATTTTTCAATCTTTGCGGCTGAGAACTCTACCCTTAAACCCATCGTCAATGCCATTGAGCTTTACATGGTAAAAGAATTCTTAGAACCAGAGACAAATGAAGAAGATTGTAAGTAATTCTTAAGTTTCATCCCTTGATGATTGATTTTAATGACATTTTCTGCTGACCTTCTGAAAATATTAGTTGACGCAATCACAAACATCAAGTCAACTTATAAAATTACTAAGAACTGGCAAGGAGATCCATGTGCCCCTGAAGTTTTCTTGTGGAATGGTCTAAACTGTAGCTATCGTGAAAATGAGACCCCAAGAATCACATCCTTGTAAGTATCTCTTCATACAAACTTACTCATAACATTCCATTTTAATTCCAGAACTCATGTGTTAATGAAGTTATGGAATATGCAAACAGGAACTTGTCCTCGAATGGATTAACAGGGGAGATAGCTCTTTCCATAGCCAACCTAACAATGATACAGACACTGTAAGTATATACGTCTTTTTACATGTCAGTTACAAGATAACTCAGTTTTAAAGTTTCATTTTGTAATGATTTCTAAGTTTTAAATGAGTTGAGCTGCTCATGATTTCAGGGATTTATCAAACAACAGCTTAACAGGACAAATTCCTGAATTTTTGTCTCAATTGCCAAATTTGAATGTCTTGTAAGTTATTTTTATATATACGGCGGTCGATAGACTTCAAATTCTTAATTAATTACAAAACTTGGGTGATAGAGTCCTTTACATGTGCAGGAACTTGGAGAAAAACAAACTCACAGGCCCAGTTCCCGTAGGACTCATTGAAAGAAGAAACAATGGCTTGCTATCATTAAGGTCTGCTTATATTGATCAACATAGATATGCCACCACTTTTCTATTTCTACTTCCAAATTTATTTCTTCATGAAAATATAAAATGATCAGGTATTTCCATACAAATTGGAAGATGGTTGAGAATTATAACAGCTGCCCTGCTGCTAATGTTACAGAGGATATTATATTATTGGTACCTATTATTAATCAAAATTTAACTATTGTTGCTATCAACCATCTTGACATTAGTTTCTGCGAAAATCTAAACACGTCCGAACAAGTTTCTTGCGAAAAGAAGGAGATGAAAAAGAAGAAACAGAATTCCAATATTGTTCCCATAGTTGTGCCAATCGTTGGAATATCAATCCTCTTATTATCTGTGGCAGCTATCTGGTGGGGGATTAAAAGGAGAAGACAAAATGGTAAGACCTATAAATATTGTTCAAATTTTTTTGTAAATGCAACATCATAAAACCAAACATCCTCTTATTAACTTGTGATGATGCAAATTAAAGCCACCATTGGGTCCCTGGAGTCAAGAAAGCGACAGTTTGCATACTCGGACATACTGACGATCACCAACAACTTAGAGAAGATTCTTGGCAAAGGGGGGTTTGGAACAGTTTATTATGGGTGCATAGACAAAACTGAAGTAGCTGTCAAGATGCTTTCTCCATCATCAGTTCAAGGGCCTCAACAATTTCATGCAGATGCATGTTTGTCAAAATAAACTACTGCAGACTTTCTAATCCTCAATCACATGTAATATACTAAGATGTTGCATTTATGGCCTCTTCATTTGCAGGTTGATCTTCTTCTGAGAGTTCACCATATAAACTTGATTAGCCTTGTAGGATATTGCAATGATAAGACCAACAAAGGGCTCGTTTACGAGTACATGGCCAATGGAAACTTACAAAAACATCTTTCAGGTTTGTTTTCAATTGAAATTCTTCGTTGGCCAAATTCACCATTTCTTTAGGTGAGGTTTCCTTTATGTGGTTATTTTATATATGCAGGTAGCAGTTCAAATGTCTTGACTTGGGAAGGTAGACTTCAAAGAGCAATAGAGGCTGCCCAAGGTCTGCAACAAAATCATTTTCATAATCCCTTTTTACTAGCAATTTATCTTCATCATTTATTAAAAAAAATTTGTGATAAAATCAGTCTGAATTTTGCAATACAGGATTGGAATATATGCACCATGGTTGTACACCACCTATGATCCACAGGGATGTCAAATCATCCAACATCTTGCTGAATGAAAATTTCCAAGCCAAGATATCTGATTTTGGCCTATCTAGAAATTTCACTGTGGAGGATGGTACTCATATACTCACAGGTGTTGCTGGCACTCCTGGGTACCTTGCCCCCGAGTAAGTTTTTGTTACTAGCCTAACGTGCCATTTCATTTGTTCATATCTGAGCCTATTCTCGACTTTATCTATTTCTACAAATAAGATACTATCACGTCACATGCCATATCATCTTGATGTTGATCAACTAAAATTCCGGAAACAAGTCGATCTTTTAGTATTGTTGTTTTGAAATGACTTGTGACGCACGGTTGGCTTGAAGGTACCACTACTCAAACAGGCTAAATGAGAAAAGTGATGTTTATAGCTTTGGGGTTGTACTGTTGGAGATCATCACAGGTCGACCTGTTTATTCAAACACACATGATGAGAGAATTCACATAAGTAACTGGGTTGCTTTCATGCTTTCAAACGGGGACATTTCCGGTATTGTTGATCGGAGGTTAGAGGGAAGTTTCAATGTAAACTCTGTTTGGAAAGCTGTGGAAATAGCAACATCATGTACATCAGCAGATGCCATCAAAAGGCCGACCATGAGTGAGGTAGTGATGGGAATAAGGGAATGTTTGGCAACAGAACTAGCTCAAACAAATCAGACTGGCACTGAAACTAATTTAGTACCTATGGAAAGCCCCACAGTTAGGTAGCTATCTTAATAAAATAATGGAAATTGGGGTGTATTGTTTTCCTCCTTTTTTTTTATATCAATGTTGTTTTATGCAAGTTGATCAATCTCATTGTACTGTGGGCTCTTTGTCTGGGCCTCAATGCATGACCTAGTCTTAGGTACTTTGTGCCCTTGGGCCTCTCTTGCTTTTTTTACTGAATGAATCTCAGTTTTCAGACCCAAAAAAAAAAGGGAAATGGCCCTCATTGCCACCCATTTTATAATTTTTTGTCAAAATACCACACCTCCCCAAAATTTTTAAAACTACCACCTATAAATACATTTTTATTGCCCACTTATTGCCCACATAACACTTTTTCTGAAATTTAGTTCTCTCTCTCTCTCTCTCTGAAACCCAGTTCTTCCTCTTCCTCTTTGTTTTCTTCTCTACCCAAATCCAAACCCCAATTTCATCTTCCTCACGAAGAAGAAGATCAAGAACAACCTGCAAAACCCACAGCTTTGCCCTCAAAACCTAGTTCTTCCTCTTCCTCTTTGTTTTCTTCTATACCCAAATCCAAACCCTAATTTCTATCTCACTTCGAATCCCTTTTGCAACCTAAACAAACCCTAACAAAACCATCTTTTCTAAATATGACAGCATGTGTTGGCATTAGGTGGCCATTGTTTGAGCATTTTGGTCCAATTTTGGGGGTTTTGAAGTCTAGATTTACGATCTTCAAGAACAGCAATCGTATTGTGATTTTATTGCGGTTGTATTATAGTCGTATTGCTTTTGTATTGCTATGGTATTGCGGTTGTACTATTTTTGTAATACGACTACAATACAACAATACCATAGCAATACAAAAGCAATACGACTATAATACAACCGCAATAATTTGTCCTTCCATGTTGACCAAAAATAGAATGGGCACTGGCCAGCCACCATTTCTGTGCAAAGCGTAAGCGTTGGTGATTTCTGTGCGAGCAAAATGGGGAGGATTGGTTTGCTTGTATCAGATTTCACAATCTCATTCATGTGGCTTTGGTCAGGGGTCTTGATTAAGATGTATCTGGGGTTTGGGCCATGAACCCACCGGTGAGATTATCAAATCCACTTTGTCAATTGTAAACATGTTCTTCTTTGCCTTGTTGGGAAATTTCAAAAATTGGGGATTTCACCCGATTCCATTTCACTGTTGCTGCAAGACTTCATTTGGGTAGAGAAGAAAACAAAGAGGAAGAGGAAGAACTGGGTTTCAGAGAGAGAGAGAGAGAGAGAGAGAGAGAACACAATTTCAGAGAAAAGTGTTATGTGGGCAATAAGTGGACAATAAAAATGTATTTATAGGTGGTAGTTTTAAAATTTTTGGGGAGGTGTGGTATTTTGACAAAAAATTATAAAATGGGTGGCACTGAGGGCCATTTCTCAAAAAAAAATGTAAGATACAGACCACTTGATTTCATGGAATCCACAATGGGAGATGTATAATGGGATGTATGTTAAATATACACCCGTTGTGATCAGAATCACCAGTAATGGGGGTGTAAATGAATATATAATTATATCACCACCATGAGATATAAATTTAGATGCAATTATACATCTTTTTACATCTCTTGCAGGTGGGACCCAGTTGAGAAAAGGAGAGGAAAAATAGAGAAAAGTCGGCATCAAAAGGTGGGACCCGCAGCTACAGTAATTGCTGAAAAAAAATTCACATGCGGGGCAATTTTTTGGTTGTCATGTTCCCCACCCACCACCCCCCCTCCCCCAAACGACTAGATTGCAATAGCCAACGGCTTGAATTTTCAAAAAGAGCAAACAACCAACATTTAAATCAAGTCCAACAGTTCAGAATCAATGTACTTTACAAACTAACGATTCTTTTTGGATGAAATCATATAACATCCTACATCAACCAACGGAGAGGGAGTAATGTGCCTTATATGTACATGCTCGCCTTCATCTAGCATGAGGCATTTTGGGAGTTCTCTGGCTTCGGAGTCATGGAAACTCCGAAGTTAAGCAAGTTTGGGCTAGAGCAATCCCAGGATGGGTGACTCATTGGGAAGTTGCTCATAAGTTCCCAGAAACAAAACCGTAAGGGCATAGAGGGGGGCCCAAAGCGGACAATATCGTGCTAAGGTGGAGCTAATCCTAGGATGTGACAAATCATACCTTCTCCGAATTTAAATATGTTTCAGTCTCTTTGTTTGAAAAAATAAAATTAACCTAATACAAAAATAAAATTTATAAAGTAAACACAAAATACAAATTTAACACAAAAACGAATTAAGAAAAACAAATCAATTATACATCTTTAGATTTATATCGTTTTTCATTAGAGCAAAAAATGTATTTACACCCCCCAGATGTGTAAAGGGGATGTAAAAGTGGCTTTACACTCTCCAAAAATACACCCCCCACTATGGATGCTCTAAGCATGGACAAAAAATATTTTATCAGCTTATCTTGTTTTACACTTTATATATTAAGAGAATCCTTTTTTGTTGGAGAGGGAATGAAATTTCAATTATTCTTAAAACATTTAATAAATTGAATAATAAATATAAAATTTGAGAGTAAAATGGAAATTAAAAAATCATTTATCACACACTGTGTCTCTCCCACAACCATCATGCTTCTTTTTCCCCTAACTTTGCAGTGACTATGCATAGCATATGTAGATAGTTGTAATTGTTATCTACCCGTACTTGTACTTGTGTAAATCAATATTCTTTTTCACTCGACTAAATCTTATTTGTAAAAATTAAAATCTTAACGAAAGCATGTTACATTTAAATATCTGCAGATAAAAAAGAAACATTTTAAACATCTAAAATGTTTCTCTCTTATCTTTTCTTCTTTTAATGCGATATTTTCTTGTCGGGTTCTTACTACATTTGTTCTTCAAAAGGTTTGGTCCGGACTCTTCAATTAATTTTCAAAAACATCAAACACACACAGAAACGCGTGCTTCAGGGACGTGGTGTACTATCCACAAAATGGAAGAAAGCTGGCAGGGTTTGATGGCAACAAGTATCCATTTCTATTCACTGATCCTGACCGTCCATAAATCATAGCACATATGGACCCCACCCGAGTCCCAATGCAGGTCGATGATCATCAATACCATTATCATGAGAGAGAACTGTTCCAACTAACTCTCTCTCTAAACATAAATAAAGAGAGCCTCATCAAATTGTGACTCACAATGCCTCTAGATTTGATGCATATTTTGGTGTCCCTTGCTTGATCCTCATTGGGTTTTGGTTTTGCTAATTAAGCCACCGATTTCCATGCCTTATTTGTCCAACCAGTTCACTATAAGTCAGAAGAGTTTCAGAACCACCAAAATAACTCCATCACATGCAGCTTTGACATAGCTTTAACTCATAATGCCTCCACCTACTATCTTCTCAACTGCCCCATATTTGATATAACCAGAGAAATGTTTTGTCCGCAAATTATTATGGATATATTTTTATTAATATAAGCGATAATTTAAATTACAAAGACACTACCCTGAGACTTACAAATCAAAGTGTTTTTTCCATTCGGTTGGATGTTGGCAATTATTTTGGATTTATAATAAGAAAAATAAGAGTGTTAAGCTAGCAAGACAAAAGGGCTCAATGAGTTATGGTGTTTGTATAATTTTTAGTGCTGGTAAAACCAATTGAACTCTCATTTAATGCCTGAACACAAACCCTACCTTCCCTCTTCAAGAGGAAACTTCAAAAGGGGGTCATTTTCAATGCCCTTATAAAGTCCAGTTTTTCATAGCATTGAGCTTCAAACAAAAGAAAGCTGCTTCACAGAAATGGGCAGCCATAGCCAATACTTGACAGCTGCAGCCTTGGGTTTGGTTTTTGTATGTGCTTTGTTTGTAAGTGGTGGAAATGCACAAGAAGCAACCACTCTTGTTCCAGCCATCATGACCTTTGGTGACTCTGCAGTTGATGTGGGCAACAATGACTATCTCCCAACTATCTTCAAGGCTAATTACCCTCCATATGGAAGGGACTTTGTCAACCATCAGCCTACTGGCAGGTTTTGCAATGGGAAGCTAGCCACTGACATCACTGGTAAGTGGAAAATTAGCTTCAAATTGAAGCCTTTCTCTTTCCCCCTTTTTTTTTTCTTTTACAATATGATAGTGTAGACTACTCTAATGTACGGGGAGGGGGAGGGAGATCGAACTTGGGTGCAACGAGGCGGGCACAATGCATTGGAGTCTTTCTCTCTTTTGGTTTAATGCTCAAAAGCCTGACAGTAATTGCTTCCTAGAGCAAGAAAAGTGATCTTGTTAGAAACACCAACCTGATTGTTTAAGTTGTCTAGTTGAGTTAGTTTCAACTACATAACATAATTAGTTTCTTTATGTAGCTTAACCTGTCTTACAGGAACAGAATTTTAAAAGTATATATCTTTCTGTAACCAGATTAATTGTTGATAATGATCATTAATTTCTTAAGCTATTGTAGTTAGAAATTATAATATGACTCCTCCAGCATTAATCTGGGATTGGATTAGCAGTTAATTAGACAATCCAAGCGTCTTAGTTAACTGGTAAAAACATGATAATCTGAGTTTCTTTATGCAGCTGACACTCTGGGGTTCACGACTTACCCACCGGCATACCTTAGCCCACAGGCATCAGGGAAGAACCTTCTGATTGGAGCCAACTTCGCTTCAGCTGCATCCGGTTACGACGAAAAAGCAGCAACTCTAAATGTAAAATTCCATCTTAGTTATGACAGTTAATTTTACACCTATGTACATGTTAATTTCACATGTTTCACACAAAACAATTGAACTTGTTGTGGCAGCATGCAATCCCATTGTCCCAGCAACTACAATATTTCAGGGAATATCAGGGTAAGCTGGCCAAGGTAGCAGGCAGTAAGAAAGCAGCATCCATCGTCAAAGATGCACTCTATTTATTGAGTGCTGGCAACAGTGACTTTCTTCAGAACTATTATGTCAACCCTTATCTTAACAGAGTCTACACTCCTGAGCAATATTCCTCG